ATATAAATTATATATAAATGTTTAAAAAGATTAAATTTTTATATTAATTGTTTGAATAAAGCAAACAAATTAGCGGAGGAAGTTGTTAAAAAAATTCAGAAAATTGATGAAATGTCATTATCGGAATATGAGTTGCTTCCGGAAGAAAACAAAAAATTTTATTTGGAATTAACTCTACCAATAAAGAAAGAAGAAGCGTTGCAAAGACGAGTGCAATTTTCACAACAAATGATGGAATTAAGAAGACAAAAAGTATCAACTTTAATTTAACTTTATAGATCATAGATACATTTTCTACGCATATAATTTATATTTTCTTTGAAAATTACATAAGATATTAATAATCATAATAATTTTTCTATCACAATTTTTCTCTTGCCAATTTCATGATTCTACCATCAATATTAATGTAAATGAAATTATATTTATAATGTTTAATATTTAAGTTTTTTATCGATAATACGCATTCTATAAAAATTTTCTTTTCTCAGCAAGTATCTAACGCTCAAACTATTAAAAACAAAAAAGTAAATGAAAAAGCAAAGGATGAAAAAATCAGTAGTCGAAAAGAAAAATCCCAAACTTCTAAAGCGCTCATGAAAGAAATTCAAAAGCATAAAGAACTCGAAAGTAGATATAGTTCTAAATCAAGTAAAACAAAATATTATGCAAATATTAATTTGTTGAGAGAAAACATTTTATTTTATTTGTAATCTTATACGCAGTTTCGGAAAGGCAAGAAATATCAGAGGAATTGAAAACTATTGCTGATGCTATGAATGATTATTATAGCCAACTTTCGGCTATAGAAAATGTTATAAAAAATTGGGATCCTCTTAAAAAAGTAAATATCCACAAAAATCTACATAAATTTGATTATTTCTTCTAAATATCGTATTTAAAAATATTTATTATTATTTTTTAATTATATTGTTACTAATGATTTTTAGGATGCATTGTTTACACCAAAAAATTTAAAGATAAACTAATTGATACAAAAAACAAACATTCTGATACCAGTAAAGAGATATAATATATACATGGAAAGAATTTTTCTTAAAATTTACTCTGAAAATGATAGTTCTGAGACAACATTGTATTTCGAAGAATTTTATATAAATCTCTCTCATTCATTAATAAAAACTACAATTAAACATAAAATAAATTTAATTGTAATTTTTATTAATGAGAGAGATTTATATAAAATTCTTCGAAATACAATGTTGTCTCAGAACTATAATTTTCAGAATAAATTTTAAGAAAAAATTCTTTCCGTGTATATATATTATATCTCTTTATTGATATCAGAATTTTGTTTTTTGTATCAATTAATTTATCGCTCCTTAAATCTTTTGATGTAAACAATGCATCATGCTAAAAATCATTGGCAATTAAGTTTACTGAAGTGCATGGTAAAAGTTTTTAAAATATATTAGGTTATACACAACTACTATATTTTCAGAATAAGTTTTAAGAGAAAATTATTTCCGTGTAGATTTTAACAATTTAAAAAATTATAGAAGTTCGTTTATAATTTACTATTTAAAAAATAAGTATTTAGCGTGTGCGTGTGCGTACGTGCGTGCATGCGTGCGCGCGCGAGCGCACGCGTGTGTGTGTATGTGTGTGTGTATGTGTGTGTGTATGTGTGTGTGTATGTGTGTGTGTGTGGGGGGGGGGGTGCGTGTTGCTTATAATTAAATCTGTAATTTAATAAACAAAAAAATTTACTGTACATTCTATATCAATAAAACTTTATTTTAACAGATTTATAAGAACGGATTTCATATTTGGTACGTAAATGCTACAGATCCATGGAATCGAGTAATGTATGATGTAATAGTAAATCAAATAAGGGAAAATCATTTAGCTAAAAAAGCTCTTCGTAAGTAATATATTCTTTTCTTTAAATACATTTTTTCTACAAAAAAGTATAAAATAATAATGTTAAATTTAAAACTAGTTGCTAAAATTATGCCGATAATGGATCTCGAATCGAAGAAATATTATATTCTTAAGTCACGAGATATAAAAATACGAGATATTGAAAAGAATGGCAAGTATATTATATTATATAATTTATAACACGCAATATATTTATTATAAAAACATATTAATCACAATTTTGTTTTATTAATTAGGAGCTTTTCAAATTGTTTCATTATCCACATTACCCAATTCTATAATTATGAAATCTAATTCGTTACACACTAATATAATTAGTAAGCAAGAAAATTCTGAAAAGAATACCAAACACAAAGAACGTATTTTTAATAAAAATAAAAAACCATTGATGGCATCCTTAAATGGTACGGTAGACAACACGGATATTAATGAACCTAGTATTAATACAATCATTGAGAAAGTATTAAAACCACGATGGATTTTACAACCTAATGAAATTCAGAAATTTAAGATTCGATATCAACCTGAAGAAGTAGGAATTCATCGACAAACGTATGCATTATCCATCCTTGATGGCAATGAAATTACTTATGATATCAATGTTTCTGTCATCGCAGATGTCCCAAAATTAGACATG